TCCCTCTCATTGAACAATCCTTGTGAGATGTACCCACACACAAACTGCCCTGGGAGGGTGCTCCTTGTCCCCAGTCCTTTCGGTCCACTGCCCAATTTCACCCCCTCTTGCTGAAGGGCTGCAGCCACCCCAGGGGCAGAGGACAGGACCCCTTTTAGCACACAAAGATGTGGCTGCTCTTCACCCCGTTGTCATAACATGACAGCCTGGGGGACAGGAGGAAGGTGAGGGTGTTGCAGTGGGAGCCAGATGGAGGTATGGGAGATGCCTAGAGAGTAGTGGGAGGAGGGAGAAAGAGTTGGAGATGGGGAAATGGCATCTTAAATATTTTAGTGGATGTGGAGTGTTCTGCAGAAGAGAGCAGCCTGTGCACTATTACAGTGGGGAACATCAAGGTCGGAGAGTTGAGCCTGCAGGACCTGAGCTTCTGCACTCCTTTGCTCACAGAAGAACTTGCTATGGTAACGATTGTCCCCGGCACTGTCTCATTCCCTGTTTCTTTGTAATAGACCTACATTCAGTCAACAGAAATACGTGCTTTATCAAAAAGGTAGGGAACAGAAAAGCTGTCTTGGCTTGGGTATTTTAACGAGGGGCATTTTAGCAATGCTTATCATGTCCTAGACCTGACATTGCTTCACCCACAGCCTGACTTATGCCTCTCCCTTCTCAAACATTGGCAGTAGGTTCACCTTCAAAGCACCTAGAGAAACTGAAGCGGTCTCAGGCTCACAGCAGGTGTCCCTTGTACTCCTGCACTGCTTTTTCTCCTGTAAATGGAAGGAAAACTATCCATGAAGCCCTTAATTTATCAGGCTTGCATCTGTATTATATACTGAAGTACGAAACAATAGCGTCAAGGAGCGACATTGAGGTTTCCTGGAAAACTGCAATACCAAACTTCCTCGTTTTCAAACTTGCTGTTTAGTCCCCGAGAAAAAGCTTTACCTATTATTTTTTTATTATTATTCTCCTTTTAAAGTGCAAAGTCTGAAAGTGTTTTTTTGGTGCATAACTAAACTGAATATAAAGCAGGTTTCAAGTCCCTTAGATGGCTTTCTGAAAAGTTGGAGCCCCTAAGGCATTCTAATGCCTTTGCCAAGAGCCTTCTTGATATGGCTCTCACCAACATCTGGCTCCTTGAATTTCTTTACTGCTGTTGTTGTATTTTTTTTAATCTAGTATTTGTAATTTTTCTAGGCATAAATTTGCCACAGATTAGCTATTATCTTAAGGCAGTGTGAAAACAAGGCATGCTACTAAAAGACAAGAAAACCATAATTTAACATATTGCTGGCAGAGTCTATAATTTTTTTCTATGTGAGTTATTTGACAGATGGAGCTTAAATACTCCCTCAGAAAAGCCTGTAACCTCTTAAACTCTAAACATTTCGACCCACTGGGATTACAAGCCCCCAGCACAGCTAAACAGAGCGGTCCTTGGCTGAACTTTACACCGTCACTCGGGATCTGGAAGTGCCTTGCACGTTCAAGCAGAGTCTGTGGGAAATGTAGTGCTCCTGGGTCAATCACACGACACGCGGTCCACATCCAGGTAAGGTAAGATGGAAAAAAGCTTCCCCTCTCAGAGAAAAGGGGAAAAAAAAAAGTGTTGGAAAGGGAATTTGCAGCTTCCTTACAGCATATTTCAAAGCTCTAGCCTTAGCTTTTCTCTGCCCATAGACCAGCAGACAGCACTGGAGCTGGAGCACTGGAGCACTTCTCCATCACTGCAGGAAGACTCAATGATACATCTCTACTTATGTCAAATACTGAACCACAAAGCTAAGATCAGAAAAAAAAAACCACACTGAAGAGGTCAGTCCTCTGTTGTTTAAAATTTCCACTTCTGGCACTATCTCATGGCCTTCACTCGTACTTTCATTAAGCCCTGCATTTCAGCAAGATAAGGGGT